AAGAAATGGACCATGCCTTGGCACTTGCCCTGGTCCCATCCCCTTCTGCCAGAGACCCTCAGATCTGTCCCACTCCTGCCCAGGCCCCCATAGGCCCCCTTGACGCGAACGATGTAGAGCTGGCCATGGCCACCCAGTAGGCCACACCCACCCAGTAGGCTGCACCCACCCTGGGCACACCCACCTGCCCCCCCAAGGGCAACCGCAATGCTGATTCGTCCCTCAATGAAATTGAGTTTGACACCCCTGATCTAGAGTCATAGATGTGAGGCCATATATTTACTAAATAAAATCTAAGGCTGTCTCTTCTTTGGGTGAATTGAAGTTTTAAATATGTACCCAGAGGGCTGCACTTGGATCACAGTTCTGCATCAACTATTTTGCAGATTTTGACCCCTCCCTTTCTATGCTCATGGTTCCATTATCACCAGCTTATGTTATGCTTATTGGATCGTAACAGGCAACTGTCACCTGGAAAAAGTAGAAATATTTTTGCAAAACATTCCAAATAAGGGCAATCCAAGGGGAGAAAAATGTTTTGCTAGGCAACATGAATGGATGGGTGGGACAGAATTAGAGAGTGCAAAAAAGGGATCTGGCCATCTGGAAATCCAAAGATGAATGAGAGTCACGATTCCTTGATGAGTATCTACTTTTGAAAAGGTATCTTTGTTTTGATCGAGCATATGTTATTTGGATTGAAACTGAAGCAAGAATGCTGGAAATAGTATTCTGAAGATTGGTTCCAGAATAACAGCAGTGTGTCAAAGAGCTGAAATGTAAAAAATGTTATCAGTGTTAGCATCCAAGAAAAATATGGCTAACAGCTAGCCCGAATCTGCTTTTTTCATTTCACTAGTTCCATTTCTGCCTACAAGAGCAACAGAAAGCAAGCCTAACTGCTTCCTCCAATGGCAGACTTTTGGAGCTATGGTATCTTCTCTCAAAAATTTCTTCTGCAAGCTAACCATCCTTTCTCACACAACTTGGTTTTTAGTCTTTTTACCATCTTAGCAGTCTTCCTGATCTGGTTTTATTTCTTTAATAACGAACAGATGAAAAATCATTGTAACAGAAATTTTATTATTTAAAAGAACACTGAAGCACATGTTTTTAATTGTAAAACATATATTTTGCACACTTTCATCACATCTGTTCCATGGTACAGAATTTTTAATCTATTGCTTCCAGCAAAGACATTCAGGTTAAAATGAAGTCATATCTTGATGCCCTCTGTGCATATGTATTATTGCTTGTTTTTCAATTATCTGAAATTTAGGGAAAGTGTTTTTTCAGGACATTAATATTTAATAATTTTGGAGTCTGAATGCAGGAAAAGAACAATAACTGCATGAATCTACTTATAGTATCTAACAGCTTTGTGATTTGGACCTGGTGATTTGTCTCAGTATTACTGTAACTGTCAAAACCAAATATGTGAACTAGATACTGATCTGTATCGGTTTCTGTTCTTGAATGGTGCAGTACATTTTTGAAGGGATTGTGGAGAGTTTGTACTGTAGAACAAAAAGTTGGACTTTCCAAGCTATAATAGTTGAAACTGAGATTGCATATCATCTTGAACCATACTAGAAGTTTAATGAAAGCATTCTTCCTAAGAAAAGAAAGTAGTTCAAAAAAATGATTATATTTTAAATTTGTCATAACACTAAGAATTTTACTAAGATCCCATAGCAAAGCAATGCTAACCTTATCTGGGTCTGAAAACCCTTATCAGCTACACACTGATAAATCAAATATAAGAAGTTAGCTTTACTTTTCTGGGAAGAAAACTGCTGTAAAGAATAATATTTACTGAATTAGTCCATTATTTGCAACAAGGAAGGGGAAAGTATGGGTCCAGGATATCTGAAGAGCCATCTCGCCCCAATGGGACTAGGCCAGCGGAAGAGACCAGCTATGGATCCCATCTGCTAAGAAATTTCAGTGGGTGGAATCAAGAAGAGCCCTGGAGATTACTCTACCACTTAGATGAGAACTACTCCCATCTTTTGGCCTTCTCAAAGGATATTACAGTTTAGTTTTGCCAGTTGGTTTGATGCCCTGAGGAGGGGCACTCACTGCTGGAGGTGGTTAACAGAGTAAGAATACCTAATTTACATGGCACCTGTCTCTTGGTCCTGTTTTTTTGTATAGTTTTAATTTTTAAATTTGCATAGTTTTAATATCTTAATTATTTTTTATTTATCTTTTTATGATCTGTAGAGAGTCACCTTATCTGGGAGATGAATGGCATATAAATTTAAATAAATGCATAATACAAGGAATGTCATTAAGAAAGGACAGGTAACGTTTTTTTTAGTCAGTTGCATCGTAGCTTCCCCTAGCCTGTACTCTTCTGTGATTTTCAACTTAGAATAGTTGGTCTCTGCATAGTTCTTGTAGATTCATATTTTGAAAGTAGATTTTCTATGGTAAATGGGACAACAGTCTTAAGTCCCCCTAGTTCCAGCAGAGTGGGCCTGTTACAGTTTCTGTTGTCTAGGGAGTTGTGGTGCCTGCATTGTGGAATCTTCTCCCAATACTCCTTTAGCGATAGGATTCTTTATGATAGCCATTTTTGAAGATATGATCTATAGCAGGGGTCCTAAACTGTGGCAACTTTAAGACTTGTGGACTTCAACTCCCAGAATTCCTCAGCCAGCAAAACAAAGCTGTCTGAAGAATTCTGGGAGTTGAAGTCCACAAGTCTTAAAGTTGCCAGGGTTGAGGACCCCTGATCTATACCTTTTAAAAACAATGTACAGATAGTCCTCAGCTTACAACCGCAATTGGAACCAGTATTTCAGTCACTAAGTGATGCAGCTTTTTACCATCATCATTAAACTAATTGCTGTTGTCCTTAAGCTATGTGGTCATCACACAATCATTAAGTGAATCGGCTTCCCCAATTGATTTTGCTTGCCAGATGCCAGCTGGGAGGTCACAAAATACAATCACATGATTACAAGAGGCCTAAATTGTGATCACGTGACTATGGTGGTAATATGATGGTTGTAATTGTGAGTCACTTTTTCAAGGCCATCATAGCTTTGAATAATCTTTAAATGAACAGTGGGACTGTTCAAATCAAGGACTATCTATATAGAGAATGTGAAAATAATGTCTAATCACTTCTTTATCAGCACTTGTAGTGAATATTTTACAAACGTAGGACACTTCCCAAAGTCAATCAGCTCACTCAATATTTACTTTTATAGTATCACCTAGTGTAGTGTAAGACAAGGATTTTCCAATTGAGTTCTAGGAGTCTTGGAAATCCTGATGCTATTTAGAAACTTTGGCAACCACTGTATCTCACCGTACTCTTATGAACTGACTCTGTGAAAGAGATTCCGTAGCAATCTGAAAGAGCTTATTCAGCAAATTCTCTTGGAAAGTTTTAAAAGGTTTAAAGCAACTGCTCCAGCAAGCTGACTTATACAATGCTCACGTATTCTACTTGTAGGATTCAGGAAGCACTTTAGCTTAGTTTTGTGGTAGCTGCATCTTTTTTTAATCCAGTAGGTAAGATGACCCTGCTTGGAGCTAGTGATTAAAATCCTACGATGGCTAATTAATGTTAAAATAGCTTCAACATAAGGCTGGTTTGAGGAGACATTAATTCCAGAATTACCTTTAAGAGTTGCCTTTCTTGCAGTCTCAGCATGCCTTAATCTCTGACACAGACTCCAGAGGGATGGAGACTTCTGGGGCACCATTGATTTACGTTGGGATGTTTATGGCCACTGTTTTTAAAAAATAGATTGAGAGAAGCTGGGACAAATGTTTGATCTTCATGTCTTTCCGAATTTGGAGATGTACAAATTTAGCTGCAGACTTAGATATACTAAAAATGTGTGTAGCACTTAACATTTTTAATGGCTTATCTGAAAATAAATTGAACAGAACTGTGAGAACATATCCAAAGCATGGATATATGTTTCAGATTATTGTGCAATTACAATGTGACTTTAAATCAGCTAGGTAAGGAATTCTGGGAGTTGAAGTCCACAAGTCTTAAAGTTACCAAGGTTGGAAACCCCTGTGGTTATTCGAATTTGATATTATTTATTTCAAATGAGTCTATGAATACAAAGGTTGTTGGTTTGAAGTCTGTTTAAGCAAACAAGAGAATTCCAGGGAGTGGTTCAAAATATCTCTAGCCATACCAAATGTTCTCAGTGAAAAAAGAATTCTTATTTGGTTAATAAACAAGCTTGGATGATATTTTGTTCGCTTTTACTTAATTTTTGTTCCTTATTCTTAAATACAGATAAAACATTACAGTATGTGGAGAGATAATATCTTAGATTGATAACTATAATATTTACCTACCATTTTGAAAGAGGAAAGCTATTCCAGTTCAAGCATATCTTAAATTCAAGGCAAAACAGATATTTGAATTGCTGAATTTTTCTAGTTTATTTAATCAAATCAGACATAGGTTATAATATGTAAGATAACAAGACTGATGTATGTATGTATGTATGTATGTATGTATGTATGTATATAGTGTTTATTTCAGGGCTTTTCAATCAGTGGTACGGGTACCACCTGTGGTACATTGGCACGTGGCAGGTGGTACGCGACCATCCTAGAAAAGTGGTAGCGGAGGAGGGGAGCACCGCCGGGCAGGCAGGCAGGTGTCTTGCTCGGCTGTGCCTTGGGGGGCCACTTTTTTCAGTTCCATTGTAACTTTGAACAGTCACTAAGCAAACTGTTGTAAGTCGAGGATTACCTGTACTTTATCACTTTTTTCCTTTTTTTTTTTTGTCATCACGTTTTTGACACCTTGCTAGGCAACTGGTGGTACTCGGATATTGCCATATCCTAAAAGTGGTACAAATGGTGAAAAGGTTGAAAAGCCCTGGTCTATTTCATATAGCCTCAGAACCATTCATAATTTCTGTAGAAACTAATAATAACCTTTAATCTATTTATCATATTTCATTTTTCAATAATTGTTTTGTTTTTGTTATTTTTTATCCAATCTGCAGGAGCCCTTACCAAAGTGAAGGAAAGTAAGCGGCATGTAGAAGAAGGAAAAATGGAAATCCAAAAGGCTGATGGGATTCAGGATCGTTGTAACATTATTTCATTTGCCACTTTGGCGGAGATTCACCATTTCCATAGAATTCGAGTCAGGGACTTCAAATCACAAATGCAGCATTTCTTACAACAGCAAATCATTTTTTTTCAAAAAGTGACCCAGAAGTTAGAAGAAGCTCTTCACAAATATGACAGTGTTTAATGTTGCTTAATTAATAAACTTTACATGGTGGCTATTTTTTGAATTGCAGATGGAATAAACAACAGAGGCAAATGCTGCTCTAATGACCGTTGGCACCTCTCAGGGTGTTTTGCAAAGAAGCTCTTTTTGTAATTGTTCTGAATTCCAGAACTTAATAATTGCATAAGGAGAAAATAATTATGCATACATAGCAGAGACTATACTATACATTGTAACTAAATTATACCCAAAATGCCTACACTACCATCATAATGTCTTCTGAAATAATTATACTATTTGCCTTATTGCTTTTTTGAAATATGGTATTTTAGTGCATATGCTATAGACCTCAAAATGTCGGGGTCTTTAAGGAAATGGGCTAATGCCCACTTCGTATGCCTTTTAAAAATTATCTTTGGTTTGAATTTCTTAAATTCAGCCAATTCTCTGTTTACAAATTTCTATTAGAGCAGCTATGCGATTTTGTGCCTTTAGCATTTTTCATTTTTTTCCCTAGTAAATGACATTTTTATGATTGAATGAAGGGTTGGCACCTCTGACAGGGCTTGATTTCAAACCTCATAGTGACTCAAAAATAACTAGTTCTGTAACTTGCACACTAGATACTATGAAAAATGTTGGTAAAACAACAACAAAATTTAAAATCATTTTAGATTCTGTGTTGATTAAAAACACTATTTATTATTTTTACCAGAATATTAAGTACACAAGCAACAATGCAGCATTGCTGTATTTTCTTTCTTAATATGTCAGCATAAGATCTTTCCGTGTAATACATCTTTGGATAGAAACTTGGACCATTTATCTAATAAAAGGATACTGAATTATATCAGTGGGATACGACTAGAGGTTCAGTGAGTAATGCTTGCATGCATGTGTCTGTGGTTTGGAAGGTTTTTCTGGCTGTTGATTTGTTTGATTCTAAACATGGGCCCACATTGCCAGGAATCATTACTGTTCAGTGAAGTTATTTGTTGGTTAGAAGAAAATACATGTATATGAACGTATCTTGTGCTCATGATTCCTGTTCTTTAGAGGGTTAAGAACCCATTGTGTGAAAATGTTAATTGAGGCCTTGAAACAATGAGAAAAGCTATTTTACTTAACTTCATTTTCTCAAATCTATAACTTTCATACCTTCTATCACTTTACTTCTCATTTTAATAGTAGCTGAGAGAAGTCTTTAGAATCAACCTATTTCTGTATTGTTAGAATGCTTTCTGAATGTGTTCTGGAACTTGATACATTCACCAGGTTTTAGTAAATCAATCTAATTAGAGCCCTACAAGTTTGTTTATACTAGTCTGTTAATCTACTGCAATACAAAAAATTTTAAAAAAGAATTTACTGAATAGTATATCCAATTCAACTCACTTGAAGAATAACATCTAGTTATTTCCCTACTGCATAGATATGGCATATTTAAATTGGTTGTAAATTTAGAAAAACGATATTCTCCTGGATTGATCCTGTCCAGATGTACATCTGCATATAGTTGGAGAAAAAAATTCACACCATACATTGAAGTTGCTCCAGTCTTCCTGCTTGAAGTTTCAGTAGCAACGTAACAATATACAAGCATGGAGATTGGTGGCCTGGGCCCAATTTTTTTTTATTTTAAAACTTTTTAAGGAGAGTAAGCCTTTATATTTTTATTCCAGCATTTTAAAATATAATTGGTAAAATTCTAGAAAAATACCTAGCTAATTATGCAGAATTAAGATAACTTTGACTTTCTGCATGTTGACTAAAACATGTAATTTTATGCTGATTATAAAAAATGTTAAGACTTTCTTAAGTTAAGCTTGACTCCTGTTGATTGAATCTATGATGTTTGTTAACAGAGTGCCATTGCATCACTTTTAGTTTTGTTTGTTTGTTTTGTTTACATCTGTACCTGCCAGAGAAAGAAATAGCCAACTGAAAATGGCTCTACGAAAAAGTGGAGCCAACGACCAGAGTGGAATGAAGAGCCAGTGAATAGACTGGCTATTTGTAATTCCTCTGTGGACAAGGAGAGGACTTGGGATCAGTCACAAAGACTCCAAAGAGTTGTTCCCTGTGAGGTGATCGCAACACAGTGGTCAGGCTTAGAGTTCTGGGAGATGGGGCAAGTCACTTTGCTCAAACCACAGTTGGTGTCTTTGAAAGGAAACTGGGTTTGTGACATTCCTTTTTTAATCACATTCAGAAATACTTTATTAACTACTTTTCAGCAGTGAGGTATTGAGGGACTTTCTCAAATATTTCTGCTGCTCTTCTGTTTCCGTTGTCTTTTTATTTGCTGAAATGTATTTTCAAGAAATTGAATTAAAAAAAGTTCTTCAAGGAGGGGCAGTCAGATAATGGGGAAAGATTCTGCCTTGTTTTTAATTTCCCTCAATAAAGTAATATGAATATGGAATGTATGAAGTAGGAATCATATTAGCACAAATGAACAAGTGTTGCATTTTTACTTGTCCAAGAAAATGGTGTCTGGTGCCAGCATTCTAGATATATATACGCATTCTATATTGTGCTTGTCTAAATACAAAAGCTTATGTAGCTTTTTTTTGGGGAGAAAATATAGCAGTTCTTATTCTCCCAGATTCTCATTCTTCCTGATGCTAATAAGGAAGTGAAGCATTTTGATTAGAGACAACAGTGAAACTCATCAGTAATTCCTACAGTCTCATTGAAGGGCTTGTCATGTGAATATCTTCCATAGATAAATTCAGATGTATATGTCTATACCAACTAATACATAAATATGCAAAGCAGATTTAAAATCTGCCAGTTGAAGCTCCACCCCCTTTTATGTGAGCATTGTATGCATAGGGAAGTTGGGCCACTGATTGCGCAATGATTGCGATCACCTTGACTGGTCACCACTACATCAAAACAATATCCTCAGCCACCACTATTGCCAATGTTTTTAAATGTAGAGAGATATTGTATATCATTTAAAAAACATTGGTAATAGTGGTGGCTGAGGATATTGCATATCTCTCTGCATCAATATGAAAAGATGTCTGTGTTACAATTTTAAAAGGCCAAACTATCCATATAGATTTATGGCAAAGAAAACATTTTTTATTTTTTTACTAAAACAAATCTGCTAATTTTATATGTGACTTTGTTCATGAACAACTTTAAACTGTAATTGTTTTGTTTTAGTATGATATATGGCCTTACTCTTTATTAGAATAGGATTATGTGTTTGAATTAGGTGATTCTGAATTGTTCTACAAATCATCATCATCATTAGGGCTTGTGCAGAGCACATTGAGCAGCAAGTGTTTTTCAGCAGTTTTGATCATTCACGGTATCTTTGGCATTGTCCCAAGGGACATTAATAATATTAAGATCTTAAGTGTTTGGCGCCAAGTTTTCCAAGGCCAACTTTGTTTTCTTTTTCCTGCAGGAGGTATCCAACATAGTACAATTTTGGGATGCTGGGTTTTAGGCATGTGTTAAGATATTGCCAACAAGCCGCACACAATGTTCATACACATTTCTAAATTTGACCTTTGTAGTACCTCTTCATTAGTGATATGGTCATGATATGAGACACAGAATTCGTCTCAAGTGGCATTGTTGGAAAACATTTAACCATTTAATCATTTTAGTTGTATACTTTCATGTTTCACAAGCATATATTGCAGTTGGTATAACAACACTCTTGAAGAGTTTTATCTTTGTGGTAATATTAATGGCTGCTGTAGACCAATTTGGATGCATGCGTTGAAACACGACTGCTGCCATTCCAATTGGATGGTTAATGTCCTTATCTGTACCTCCATCAGTAAACATAATGCTACCAAGATAAATACATTTATGTTCTACAAATGATGGTTTAAAATCCTGGCTTGATATTATCTGAGAACTACATCAGTCCATTCAGATACATCACCTGATCTGAAGATCTGAAATGACAGTGAAATAACCATGAAGAACAGGTTAGAAGGCAATGTAGCACATGAGTAAAAAAAAAACAACTTCCCTTGAATTTTATGGTAATAATTTGGTAACTATTGCTCAAGTATTTCAAATGACTCTTTAAGTTACACATTTGGTTATTGTGTAACTTAAGAAATAATTTAAAATACTTCCACAATTGTTTGGAATACTGATCTGATTTGTTGCTGTTAATATATTAAATAATCTTTGTCACTGGATTTTTTTTTCAGAAACTGGATGTCATATGCATTTAGAATTGATAAGGAGATAAATGGGAATACGTATGCAGGATATTTACTTAGTTTTGGAATAGGAAGGTATATAACCGCATTTCTCAATTGCTGCTACTTTCAGTAGAATTCTTTAAAATACCTGTAACCACAAGCTAACCCTTGTCCAGAACTTCTTGTTTCTTTTCATGGGAAATGATCAACTTTCCATACTGAGTTTTTTCTCCCCCTAAACATTCAGTGTTGTAGTTTGTTTATTTTTAACTTATAATGATGGGTGAATCCACTCATTATGGTATAACATTATGTGCAAACCATGACAATTAGTTTTATTCAGTGAACTGTTCTTTAAAAAAAATTGTGAAAGCAGCAGGATGATAATGCAGTGTTGGATTATTTCTTTTTAATTATTGATTTGTTTCTAAAATATTTACATGGTTGTCAATGTTGGCTTTAACTTTCCACAGTTGCAGTTTAGGGACAAGCGCTCTCAAAATCATAATGTAACATAATATTGTGCACTTAAGCCACCTGAACAATTTTATTTAAGTACATTAACTGGGTTGAATAGTACCTTTAAAGAGTTCTGTTACCAGTCTGTTAAAATTTTCAAATTCTTATCTGTCAGCTTATTTCAGATATGTATTTTTTGTTAGAAACCTTTAGCTTCTAAATATCCTTTGGTTTAGGTTTTTTCAAATAACTTCAATTCTCAAAATCAAGTGGTAATCAAGAAGCAGTGTTTCTTAAATGTATCCACCTTTTTCTGATATTAGAGTGCAAGACCTGAAAGATGCAGTCTTCAGACATCTAAAGAAGGAGATTCTCTTATATTTTGTCCAGCCTCTCCTTTGAAACTACAATGCTTTCTGTCAAGGAGACAACTTTAAAACTTGAATGCACTATGTTTCTATAAATTAATACAAATATTGATAATAGACTGTAGATTGGCCTATTGAACTAGACTGTAATTTTATCATCGTTTGCTGAACAAGCCATAATAACTTGGTTCATGTATAACACCAAGCTATAAAATGTGTCAAACCCTTTTCACTACTAAACCAAAATAAAACAACAGGAGTTACTATGATATACTGATTAGCCCAAAGTACTACAGTAGTTCTCTTTGAGACTGGATTATTTGGGAGACAATTCAATGTGACAAAATTTTGTTGGCTTTTTGTTTTACTTTGCTTTGTAGAATATTGATCTTTGTGTTTTTATTTGACATGGCTATAGTTGGTACAAGCATATTTCATACCTGATTTAGCCCTCAGAGAAAACAATAAAATGACCACATAAATATAAACAAAAATCTAATGCTATGCATGTCTAGTCAAAAGTGATTTTCATTAAATTCAAAGGGATTTTCTTCAAGGAACCAGCATACAACTGCAGCCTGGAATTCAGGCAATTGCATTTTGAAATATCTAGAACACCCTCTAAGAGTCTGTGATCTTCTTGTTATGATACACCCATAGAAAAGCTGTGTTACTTAATTTTAAATGAATAGTTACCCATCCTGTTCTCTTGGAATGTAGTTAAAGTAAAACAATTCAACTAACATCCATTCACTGATGTCAAGGTTTTTTTTATCAGGGTTTCAGATAGTTGAGAAAAGAGGAATTACTGGAAAAAACAAATAGGTCTGGGTAACTCTCAAAGTTCCAGTTTAATTTTGAACACTCCCTAACTAAGGTAACTCTACCTTTTAAAAAAATCTAACATTATGATATCTTGTGATTTTTGCCTAAAATTTCTGATCATTAAAAACCAATTGTCCTGCCACTGTTCACTTACACAAAATTTTCTGAATATAAAATGTATGCAACAAGAATCAGATTTTATGACACAGTTTGGTTTCCTGCATTCCTCTGTTGGCAGTCCTCCAACCATAAGTTCCTATGTGGAAAAAAATCAGGAAGGTATTGTAGCAGCTTGTTCTCCAATACTCTGATTATTTTCTCCTGTGTTAAATAACAGTCACCAAGAATCACATTTACTGTGCAGTGCTAGTAGAATCAACATTAGGCAGAAGTACTTAGACTTTGAAAATAGTTTCATTCAAATGGAATCCATTATCTCATTTCTTTCATTAGAATACCCCTGCTTTTTTATAATAATAATGATCTTTGGGTTACATACTAGT